AGATCCTTACCACACATGACTTATAGAATTAATTCCAAATGAATCAAAGACATTAATGTAAAACTAAAACCCATAAATTTCTAGGAGAAAACATAGGAGTGAGTCTTTGCGATCTTAGATTAGATAAATATTTTGTAGATACAACCACAAAAGCATGATCCATAACATTTTTTATTATAAATTGGACTTCTGCAAAATTAAAAATGCTCTTCAAAAATACTGTTAGGAAAATGAAAAGACAAGCCACAAACTAGAAAAAATATTTGTAAAATCTACTTCTGATAAAGATTTAGTAAACAGAATATATGAAGAATTCTCGAAACTTGAAAATAAGAAACAACCCAATTTTTTAAACGGGTGAATGATTTGAATGACACTTCACCAAAGATGATATGTGGGTAGAAAGATGCTCTCTTCGTTATTCTTCAGAAATGCAAATTGAAGCCACAATGAGATAACACTACATACCTATGAGAAGTGCTAAAAGCAAAAGAAAGCAAAACCCTGAAAATATTATCTTATTAGCAAAGCAACAGATAGATATTCTCGTGCATTGCAGTGTGAAAATGCAAATGGTACAGCTACTTTGGAAAACAGGGTTTCTTACAAAGTTGAACATATACTTACTATATTAGTTTGTGCTGCCATAACAAAATACCATGGACAGGGTGGCTTAAAGAACAGAAATATTCTCACAGTTCTGGAGGCTACAAGTCCAAGAGCAAGATACCAGCCCATTCAGTTTCTGGTGAGAGCTGTTGGTTCTCGGCTTCTCACTAAAGTCCCCATGTGGCCTTCCCTCGGTGTATGTGTGCAGAGAGGGAAACAGTTCTCTGGTGTCTCTTACCCTAAGGACACTTGCCCTATCAAATCGGGCTCTACTCTTTGACTTCATTTCATCTTAAGCGCTTCCTTAGAAGCACCATCTCCAAATACAGCCACAGTGGGGTCAGGGCTACAACATAAGAATTCTGGGTACCCAAACATTCAGTCCATAACACTTGCCATGTGACCTTGCAATCACACTCCTAGATATATATCCAAGTAAATGAAGAGTTTTGCTCACAAAACCCTGTATACAAATACTTACAGTGGCTTTATCCATAATCCATCAAACAGGAAGCAGTGCAAATGTCCTTCAACTGATGAATGGATTAACAAATGCTGATACATCAAAACAAACATTACCAATAAAAAGAATAAACATGCTACTGGTATGCAAATATCATGGCAGCCAGGAATGGGAGTTTGGGTGGGGGTTAACTACAAAGGGTCATGAGGCAGTTTGGGGAGGATATTTGCACTATTTGATATCCTGATAATGGCGATGGTTACAATACTGCATGCATTTGTCAAAATTCATAGAATTAGACTCTAAAAACAGATGATTTTTACTATATGCAAAGTTACCTTAATTTTAAAAAATCTGACACAAACTATGTTATTTTCCTTGTATATTATATTTGTTGGGCTCTAATTTTATGATTTTCTGATAAGACAATTTGGTCTCTAAAGTTTACGTTTCAGAGAATTTTTACAGGGTTTTATTATAACCAATAAAATGTTCAGTGTTAGTTAATATTCCCTGGGCTTAAGGGAAATGTATATGTGTATGAGTGTGTAATTTTGTATTTGTATATATGTATTTGTTTAAAATTATTAAGTCATGCTTTTTATTTGGGAATTCAAATCTCTGAATATCATATCACTCTGTGTTTTTCTACTGGAATGAGTAAGTTTTGAGAAAAGCATAATAAAGTATTCCAGTAAAAGTGCAATTTAATAAACTTCTTGAATTTCTAAGAGTTTTTGACTTTTTGTGTTGTGCTGGTGTATTTTTCATAGACCTCAGCTGGTAAAATGTTTACATGATGCATTATATATTTTATCATATTTCCCTCTCTCTTACTGTCATTGATTTCCCAGATAGGTAACAGACTAAGGAAGGGGAAGTTCAGTTGTCTAAAACTGTGCAACAAGTATTTGAACAAGAGCCAAGTTTCTCTTACTCCTATTTTCTGTGTCCAGACAGCATATGAACAACAAACACTTCATATGCACACCTCTAGATGAATGGGGAATCCACCCTAGGGGCACCCAAATTTTGCAACCATGGCTGCTCTCATCCCCATGGAAGTCCTGATCTCCAGGGAAGGAAGATCTATTTGTTTGCTCCCAATCATACAAGGCAGATCTGGTCTAACTATAAATGTTGTCCTTGGGTGAGAAAATGTTCTTCAACCCTCAGTCCTACCTGACACTTCTGAATCATCCAGGGTTAAGCAAGGAGCCAGTGGGGACGGGGACTCCCTGACAGTAAGTATCTCACAGCAGCAGAGAGAAGCCCGGTAAGAAGAGCTGGGAGAGCAGGAGAGGACGTGTCACCAACAACAGATTCACATAGACACAAACATAGATTTCCATTTGGGAACACAGACACACTAAATCCCTCTGCTTCTAAGTAAGTTCAAAGGGAGAACATCTCTTGTTAGACAATATATAAGCCTTTCCCCTTTCAGAATGTGCTGTCCATTGCAGAAGAGAGCAAGCACATTTTCAAGACAGAAATAAAAAGGCAAGCAGTGGAAGGAGATAACAAGGTTAGTGGTGGTAGATCAGCGACTGTAGGCTCCTAAAAATCCTGCCCAGAAGCTCAGAGCCAAGAGCTACCCTCTGTCCCACAGAAGAGACTCAGCTGGCAGACATTCAAGACGCTTCTCTTCTGTCGTCAATCTCCATCTTTATGATGAATTGCTTCCCTGTGTTCATCATTCATGTGGCCTGTGATCACATAATAGAGGCATCAGAAGGATGCCACACGGAGCCCCACAAAGGGAATTCAGCCTGGGGTGGGTCTAGACACCAAGCAGTCTCAGTTTAAAGTCCAAGAACTCAGGACTGCAGATCTATCAGATGTCTCAGGGTGGGTCACACACTAACGAGACTCACAGAGATTAATACACAGAGCCAGACATCAACATATTTAAGTTGTACAAAATAGACGTTACGTCCAAGAGGACTGGTAAGAGCACTGGCTCCCTGTCAGGAAGCTGCCTGGGAAGCTGAATAAATTAAAGTCTAGAGATGACTGGTGAGTATCTAATCAGAGTAAGAGGAATTCAGTGCATGACCTACCGTGGTGTAGTTGGTTTCCTAGGGAGTCTCAATTTGGGGGGTTTAAACCATGAAATAATAATTTTATTTCCTGTAACCACCCCTCCCAATGCTGGGAGTGCTCTCTGAATAAACTCTCTCTCTATATATATATAGCTTATGGGACACTTCAAGCTTTTTGTACTCTGAATCAATTCAAGGACAGTAGGAGGAATCCCACAGGACATCCACATATTTCTCTCCCATTTTTTCCTCCATTTCCACTACAGGAAACTACCTCATTAAAACCAGAGTACTCACATGTTGGCAGCCGCGCTCAGAAAATGGCGCCCAACGCAGGGCAGCCGGAAAGCCCCGAACTTCCTAGTGACAAAACATCCCACGCCACTAAACCACATGCTAATTGCGCCTTAGCATAAGGACCAATGAGACCCACCAAATTGTTATGCTAATGAAGCGTATGGAGCCGCACCAACCAGGTCAGAGCATGAGAACTATATAAGCAAGCCTCTCCTTCCCCTCTGGGTCCTGCCCAACGCATTTGTTTCACAAAGAGCTGAAGAATAAAGCTTTCTGCGGAAGAATCCTGCTGTTGCGTGCTGTTCTTGCCGGCGAGGACGGGGCGCGCGACACTCATACCTGCTGGCAAGCCTCTCTCTTGTTTGTCCTGAGGGCGTGTCTCCCTCGCCCTGCAACTTGTACAGGCCACATCCAGCATGCTCTTTCTGGAGACCTTCCAGCTTCTGCGTGTGCTGTTTTACCTACCTATGTTCTGGGAAATAGTCAAGGTAAAAAATGACTTCAAATCTCAGTACTTTTCCCTAAATTTAACAATTTAATTCTCACAGTTGCAGGCACCTCGCTGTCCCCATTTTAGGTATATCCTACAACCTGTTTCTTAGAAGCATTCCTTACAATAACCTCTAGCCCAGCCAGTCAAGCCACATCACAAAGCAGTTGTCTGCTCTTTTTCTTCCCTTTTCCTCTGGTACCGGATCTCACAAGGAATGAATGCATCCCCTCTCCTTTATTGTTCAAATACTATAAATTCTTTAGGGGACATTGCATTCACAGTGCATTACTTGACCCCTGTGCCTATAAAGACTTCTTAGTCCTGGGATTATCTGTTGGATGTACTGTATGAATTTGCTCTTTATCAATCAGCAAATCCCTTTTTGTTCAATAGCAAAAATAATCCAGACATCATACCTGATGCCTTTCTTCCTTGAACTACCAGGAAGCAGATGAATGTTTCACATGGCAACCTAAATAACATGCTCAGATTAGCCCATCAAATAGCTGTAATCTATGGGAGGTCCAATTTAATAGCAGCTAAAATGTTAAAGACAAACCACCAACCATTATCTTTCAAAACCCATAAATTTTCCAAAATCTGGGAAAAATTTAATGCCACAGATGAAATAGGCAGGTTTGTAATACAGCACTTAGCACAAAGCCTTCCATGTGGTTAGACTGCTAATAAATGGTAGCTAATCAAAAAACACCATGGAGAAAAAACTGCTTCCCCTAGTTTGTATATCTAAATTTTATTGGCTCTTGAATTTGCAAACATCACTTAACTATCCTGAGCCTAAGTTTCTTCATCTCTAAGTTGAAATATACCTCAATTATTAGACTAAGTTAAGTACTATACACGAAAGTATCTATATACAGTACTCAATAAAAACAGGTGGAATAAATAAAACTATAGCCACTGGCAATTAAACACTATTGAAATTAACAAGCCTCATCTGTAAAATGACTCAATAAGTTTATTTAGTTTTAACTGATTCTCAACCAAATAAATAAACTGTTCCAAATTATAAAATTTGCTCAGATGTTGACATGTGACCATACTCTATGACAACATTTTGTTCCCTGTAGACATGGACAGAGACAACCAGACTAGAGTGGCAGGATTCCTTCTCCTGGGACTCTCTGGGCAGTTAGGGCAGGAAGAGGTCCTCTTTGGGCTATTCCTGTGGATGTACCTGGTCACCGTCATCGGGAACTCTCATCGTCTTGGCCATCAGCTGTGACAGTCATCTCCATATGCCCATGTACTTCCTCTTGGCCAGCCTCTCCTGTGTCGACATCTGCTTTTCCTCAGTCACCGTCCCAAAGATGCTGCTGAATCACACTCTGGGAAGCAAGTCTATCTGCTATGTGGAATGTATGACCCAGATCTACTTCTTTATCACTTTCATCAACATGGATGGGTTCCTCCTGAGTGTGATGGCCTATGACCGGTACGTGGCCATCTGCTGCCCCCTCCACTACACCGTGATCATGAAGCCCAAGCTCTGTATCCTGCTGGTGGCTGCATCCTGGGTCATCACAAACCTGCATGCTCTCCTGCACACTCTCCTCATGGCCCAGCTCACGTTCTGCTCCAACAATACTGTGCATCACTTTTTCTGTGACCCTTATGCAGTTCTAAAGCTGTCTTGTTCTGATACCTTTATTAACGACCTGATGGTATTCACTGTGGGTGGAGTGATATTTCTGACACCATTTACATATATCATCCTTTCATATGCCTATATCTTCTCTAATGTACTGAAGTTGCCATCTACCCACGGAATAAAGCCCTGTCCACGTGTGGATCCCACCTGACTGTGGTCTCCCTCTTCTATGGGGCCATCCTGGGGGTCTATATGCGACCTTCATCCTCCTACTCAGTACAAGACATGGGGGCCACTGTCATCTTCACAGTGGTGACTCCCCTGTTGAATCCCTTCATCTACAGTCTGCGAAATCGTGACATGAAGGCAGCCTTAAGGAAACTAATCTCAGATTCTAGAATAAGAAAATTTTAGAGCTTAGTGAATTCTTGGATATATATTTTTTCATTCTACAAACAGAGAAACTGAGTCCCAGATTGGTGTAAACTCACCCATGACTATTCCTCTAATTAATATGTGATAATGATCATTCCTTTAAATATGAGGTAGTTGCTCATATGCTATAAAACCTTTCATCTGTTATCTATAAAAGGGGCTCATTCTAAAACACTCATTTCACAGACAACAAAAACTCTGAACAGGACTTATTTGGACAGTATATGTAGTATTCGGCCTATAAACCAGTGGCCTCCACAGTGGTCTTGGAATTTCAGAGGCCTTTAGAGCTGGCTCTCCTCAGTGTCAGCTGCTCTCTTAGCCTCACATTAGGAGATGCTGACGTCATCCCCAGTTTCCTGAACCACAGAAAGCTCACCTCTCCCAGGGCTGGACAGCTAGTGATTGCTGGTTACAGAATGGTCCTGTCTGCTCTCAGGCTCCTGGTTGTTCCTGAGCTAGGTAAGTTTTCCTCTGTCCTAAGCTCATGCCCCTTCCCCCACCTCTCTCAGCTCAGATGCGCACCCCTACACCACTCCTTACTCCCTCCCCTGCCACCATTCTGTTTGGTGCTTTGTTGCTTAGCACAGGCTTCAGGGATGAGTACCAGGAAGCTTCAGAGAGTAGCTAAACTTCTTTACGGAACTCTAGGTATCGCTTCAAGTTCAGGTGGGCTAAGGGAGGCAGTGGTTCCCTTGGTGCTACAGTGTCCAAAGTTACTATAGCACCTTAGGGACATGAAAACATGAATCAATTAGAGGATTTGGAGTGGGAATGAAGACTTCTGATTCCAAGTCCAGAGCTTGGTCCACTCCATGGGGCCAAGCATCCAGGAGTCCCAGCAGCTTCTCCTACTGTACACCTGAGGGCTAAGAGCCACAGGCCAGTTCCCACGTCCTCTTTCCTGCTGTCCAGAGAGTGCTCAACCAAAACGTGCAGTGGGCAGCCTTCAATAGCCCTCCCCTCATTAGCCTTCCGGCCTCTCACTTCCCTCCTTTCTCAGTCTCCTCCATTCTTGAGGCTAATTAGGACTCATTGTCCCCACTGCCAGCTCCTTTCTGTTGTGCCCGACACCCACCAGCTCCTACCTAGACCACAGAACACGTTATGGTGAACCTGACAGGCTCCTGCCCCACCCGACATATCTATACTGCACACAGGATCAATTTAATTCTCCAAAAGCACTGATTGTATCCCCTCAGACAGTCCTTATAGAAAAGGTTGAAGAGGCCAGGAAAAATCCAAGTCTTCCCTTCAAATGCAAGGCCCAACATGATCTGGCCTCAGCCTATCCTTACAACTCTGTCTTCAACTCACATCTTTATTGACTCCATGAATTGCCTCTCTATGACTCTTCTTCCTTTGCTCATTCTCTGCTGAAAAACACCCCTGAATTTTTAAGACTCTAATAATTGCACGTATCCCTTAACCCCTTTACTAATCACTGTGTTGAGCACATAACATACTGCTTGTCGGATGTAGTATGAGAACTCCCACATGTATGTTGGTGCCAGGGGGAACCTGAGTACATGTGATAAGCCTGATATATTCTTCTGAGGAACGAGTTTTATTTGAGAAGTGGTTTAGTGCAAATATAAAGATATATTTGGGATATAATAACATGGACTATGGCTGGTGTTTGAGGTTATATGATTCATTTTGGTCTCATCATATTATTTGTGTTACCCATATCTGCATTCATATCTCATCCAGTTATTAGATTATACACACATTTTAGGAAAGTACCATAAATTATTCATGGACATATCCCCTATAATACACAGTAGTTTTTGTTCAGACCAAAACAATCATATATTGAAAAATCATTGATGATGGGGTAGGCAAGTCTAATGGGAAACTGGGAAGCGAACACACCTAGACACAAAAAACTGGAGCAGATAAAGTTAAATCTAGGGAACTAGAGCACTGGCAAGGTTACTTCAGGACATGGAAAGATTTCACTGAATTCTGGGATCTAAGAGGCAGCTGGATTGAGTGGAAGACGCCATGGTTTGAGCACGGTTTTCTTGCCGAGTCTCTCTTTCCCTCAACTCAATCAAAAGTTGGGTGTGAGAAGGAGGGCAGTGACAGAGAGAAGCCAGGGGACTTACAGGATGGTGCAGCGTCAAAGGGGAAACCCTCTCTAGCCACATGGTCCCCACCAATTCATCTCAGGGAAGAAGTCATCATTCACCATATGGAAAGTCTTGCCTGAAAGGGAAAAAGAAATCTCAAAAAGGTCAGCAGCATGGTGTGAGCAGAAAGAGGAAAGGCTCCTGTCTTGCTCGGACTAACCATGGTGTGGGAAGTTATGTGCTGGTTAATTCTGTCAGAGCCTCAGGTGTTTAATCCTCCTCCTTCTGAGGATTACCCGCTACTGCATCTTCCCTGGCTCCCTGCCTTCCTTCTCATGAGCTAATTATGTAAGGGGACTGTGGGAGAGAGAGGGAAAGGAGTTTAGTCCAGGGTCTCAGGTAGAAGCAGCCCTTGTGGATTCCTGGACATGAGGCACTCACAGGACATGAACTGGTCATAAATGAAGCTCAGCATCATGGCACTCTTACCACCAGAAACACAGCAGTGTCAGACCGGCAGTCCCTGGAGAAGCTGGGAAATCAGGACTGGGACTGGGGACTCACCCTCCAGGGCCTGAGTTAGCAAGGCTAGGCCTGGGCCTCCTCTCTGCGGCAGGGACTCCCAAGGAGGCACTACTTTTCTTCCCCACAGGAAACTTCCACGTAGTGCTAATTAGCCTCTAGGCACAGCTTTTTGCAAGTCAGTGCAAACAACCTGGGGAGAAAAGTTTGACTTCAGCTCAATTAATGTTGAAATAGAGGCTCACCCCTCTTCCCTGGACACTGCTGTCCCCAGAGGGACTGCTTCACATCATGGCCATTGCAACGACATGTTCTCCAGGTTCATGGGATCCTGGACCTCCCTCCAACTTGTGTTTCAAGTGTCTGCGCCAAGGCCACGCAAGCCAGGGAGCCTTCCAGGGAAGCCCTGCAGGGTCTCTCCATGGGCTGAAGCCCTTCCTGCCGTTCCCTGGATGCTGCAGCCTCATAGACATTGTTACTGTCCTACTTGTAATGTCCTGTCTCCCTGCGCTTGTGGGCAGAAGCTAAGCTTTACATGGACTTGCTCTCTCACAATGTCAATTGTCTTCAGCAGACATTTGACCATTGACCCTTTGTCACATGAATTTTGAAGTGGGTTTTGTCTAATTGATGAACTCTGACTTCTAAAAAATCTGGTTATACAGATTAATGTTTCATGTGTTGAGGCACACAGACATACCCAGTTTGTTGACAGACCCATCTCCAAACAGGCCATCATTTATTTGCTCTCAACTTCAAGCATAACATCCTGCTAGTCAAAAACTACTGGTTCAGGTTTGTCATGATTTTAAAATGTGAGATACAAGTGATTGTGGGTATATTTACCAAAAAAGATGTGCCCATATTGTGGGTATACTTGCCAAGAAGGATGTGAGGTTATTTGCATTCTTTCTTAGGTCTTTGAGTATGGACAAATAAATCACTTCTGAGCCAAATTATGTGACTTCCCATAAGTGATGTTCATATACAACCTACCATTTAATACCATTCAAAATTTAGTAGAAAGAGCAGTTTCCTGAAACTGTCCACAGACATGACATGTGGTGTCATGTAAGTAAGTGCTGAAGTAAACATAAGAAAATAAGGAAATGCTAAAGAAAGGATGGGCGCATGACAAAGGGACACAGCAACCAGCCAGAAAGAGATCTCAATGGTCAAAGGAAGAACAACTCAATCAAAAAAATAAGCAGTACTGGACTATAAACCAAAGTATATAAATATACATGAGTCCATACTGATGCAAATGAATGATTGGTGAACAAATAAGTGGCTACGTTTTCTTTACAAAAAATAGCAACTAATATATGTAGATACTTCTCCCATGCCTACCTGCCATGAGGTGGAGCTTAATCCTCTCCCTCCTTCTTGAGTGTGTCTGGACTTAGTGACTTATTTCCAAAGACTGGAGTATGGAAAGGGGACAGTAACTCTACAGTACAGCAGCCTGCCAGGAACCAGTGTAACCAAGTAACCAAGGTTTACATCATCAGTGAAAGTCATGATGAGATCATGTGCGGCCTTTATGATGTGTTGAGAAGGGTACTCACCTCTCTGGGATTCTTTCCCCAAAGCCATAATGACAGTCCATTCATGAGAAAAGTTACAGAACCCAACACTGAAAGGTATTATTCAAAACACATGACCGGAACTCTTCAAAAGTGTAAAGGTCCTGAAAAACAAGGAAAGCCTGAGAAACTGGCACAGGTAAGAGGAAACTCAGTAGACACGGGTTTTAATTATCTGTAGGAACAGAGTAGGAGAGATTCAAATGTGGGTAATTTAAATGCTGGTGACATCACAATGACTTCAGAAGGGATAACGTAGTGCTCATTGGCCAACCCTTAAGTGAGCTACAGTATGAGGTTATAGAATGGAGGATATAATCTATCTGGGCTAATCTACCATGTCTACTGAGTTAACCTAAATAGTTGTCTTCTGACCTACCTCTGAAAGCCAGAACTGGACCACACAATAGACTGGTCCTCAGAAGGTGAAGAAGATGTGGTGAGTGGACACCTGTGATAACCTGATACTCTTAATTGATATTGGGCTTCACCATTAAGTCCAATGGGCTAAAAAGAAGCAAAAGTGGAGAAATAAAGATATTTCTGTTCATTTGGTGGAGGGGGCTGATTCTCACACTGTGGCCAGGAACCTTTGCTATGGCAACTGACAGCCAGGAGAAGGAAAGGCCAGGCCCTTCTGGATTGTGTGCCCTGGAATAGACATTTCAGGGACCAAGGATGGACATATAGCCAGTGAGATTCTGAGCAACATGCCTCATACTACCCAGATAGGAAAGTCATCATAATATCCTTGGCATATTTCATTTCATAAAGGGGTAGATCTCAGCCCAAACCA